AAATAAACACTTATAAACTTTAAACAATTTAAAAAGAGATTTAATATATAGCTGTAGGTTAATGAAAATAGTGGTTAAACTCTTGCTAATAAAGACATTTTTATTTATTTAAGTGAAAGCTTTTAACTTGATTGCATATTTTTTTAAATTTAAACCTTATACTTCAGTTTGCTGTGAAAATGTGTAAAGCTCTGCAAACGCCCAAAAACCCCTCAGCCAAACAGTTGATAATGTCGAAAGAATTGCTCTAAACAATTCAAAATGCCAGCATTTTTGAAATAGTACTTTAAGGGTGTTTTTTCAGGGTTTAAATTGTACAAAAACAGTCAGTAGCTAACATAAACTAACAACTATAATCTAAACGTTACCTTCCTAGTCTAACCTAACTTAAAAACACTTAATGCAGTTACGAATTTGCATAAAGCTGACCGACCACCATGACATGCCTAAATAAAAACTACATATAATTACTCCGCCAGTTCATCTATATCTCCATAATGTAACGAAATTCCCTTTCAAGAAAACATTTTTGACTGCAGAATTACTTCTAATATCTCTAAAGTCAATGATAATTTTCAAGAAGTTCTTCTTTTCATAATCGTATATTACTCTCTTCACTCCACCTGAGCTTATCGTAGCAGCACAGCAAGTTAATATTCTAGTTATTTGTAGTGAAGTGACTCCATTAGGCCTATTCCCAATAACAGAAACAGAGTTAGCTAATAAAGTTGTCACTTCCAGTTGCTTGCCGTATCAATGATTAAAAACAATCAGCTGTAAGCCTACTTCACCCACAGATCCTTCCACTAGTAAATTTCATCCGTGAAAACTATCAAATAAGTTATCAAAATTTATAATTAGCATTTTTTTATGTCTAGTAAACATTTGAAAAAAAGTTTTGGATCGTTTAAAAATCCCATAATACCCCGATCCCAAAACTTGATCTTGCTGGTCTCAGATCCCAAAATGCTGGATTAACTTTAATAGTTAAATTTGTGAATAGAAAAAAAATATTTGGTCAAATTAAATTTACAAATAATATAAATTTTAAATTTTATTAAAAACATTCACTTATCATTAAGGACATTTTAAACGCTTATTTGACTAATATATATACAATGATAAAAAACTGCCTTTATCAGTAAGACAAAATTAGGAATCTTTTACGATTCAACCTATCTTCATCATCTTTTAATTGTAAATCTACAGTTGAAAAAAAAAACACTCAAACGTCACCATGCTAAATCTACATATTATGCACATTTTTATTAACATGTTAAACTCAAGTTTATTGATAGTATTTTCAGTCAAGGCTCCTTAAACTAACAGGGAAAAATTAAAAACAAACATAAAATTGGTGTTTTATGAAGACTTCAGTGTTGGTTTCAAATACTATATCAAAGTAACATAAACAATTGCAAATCTCTGATATTTTGAATAAACCATTCGTCAACTTCAAAATCTCTTGATACCCCTCGTTACTACATGGAATACAGTACATTGTCAAAACATGATTACATACTCACAAATTTATTGACTTAAAATTAGCCAGCTAACTGCAGTACTAGACAATTAAAGAACTTGTATGAATTACACATCAATCAATTTTGATTTTATTTCTAGGAATTATTTGATCAACAAAAATATTATGTCAGTTTGAATATACAACTGTTTTGGGTGTAATGGGAATTATTTGATCAACAAAAATATTATGTCAGTTTGAATATAGAACTTTTTTGGGTGTAATGGATGTGGTTTTGACCAAATATAATTCTTTTATATGAATACAATTCAAATGTTATCGCATGATCGTATAAAGCTTCTGACAGACAAGTTGATCATTGATCACCTTAGGAATGAGCATCCATAGACAACATTGATTGATTTATTTACTATTATATGACCACAAAGAAACAAGTTGGGTGGAGATTGTTAACATTATGTACAGCAGGATACCCATGGATAAAATAAAAAAGTGGACACCATGGTGGTTTGTTTTTTGAAGTTTAATACAAATTTAGTAGAAGTGTTTTAGCTGAAAACATTTTCATTTGTTTTGTCCTGTTTGGTTTCAATTTAAAACAGAAATGTTTCAACTTTCAACACTCTACTCCAGGGGTCTCCAACCTACGGCCCACAAAAGCCTACTGGGAAATAATATTTTAATAAATAAATATTTTTTTTATTGGTATAAATTGATGATCGTCAAAGTTGGGGCAACACACGTAAGTAAATGTTTCAGTCTCGCTGACATTGTGATTGTCATTCACGATCGCAGCAACTCGGTGATACCGTGTGGCATTACCTGTAAGTAAATATTGCGTTCTCGGAGATACCGCGATCGTCTCCCGCGATCGCGACTGCACTGTGAACATCTCTTGCGGTATTTGTAAAATTTCTGTGATGATCTCCAGTGATCGAGATTTACTTATGATGTTAAAAGAGAGCCAATGGAACACCGGCAATGAATTGGGACTTATTGACTATTGGTGATCGTAGTCCTTGGTCCATACCGAATTCAAGTACAATTCTCGGTGCCACGGTTGGCTCAGATACCCTTTTTGAAATAATGTGTTAAGTATACCTCTTTCACACATTCCAGGTATTTTTTTAATTTTTTTCAATAAGAGAAAATAAGCTTTAAGCATGTGTTTATAGTGATCGAGCTACCCTAATACAGATCTTCCAAGCTAAGTGAACCGTTGAATAAAAACAATTCTAAGGACCAGGACAACAAACTTTAACCCTGATTTGGCTGACCTTAAAGTGGAAAATACAAAATTCTCCCTAAAAATTTCTGTTAATTTTAGCTTTACACCACTCCTTGTAAACTCATTGTCAATTATTCTTATCGTCATTACAATTAAGTGTTCAAGCAAGTAAACTTAGTACATCGAAAATATTTGGTGTTGTGTCATCCTGCGTTTTCATGAGTCCTAATTAAAAACCCCCATTATAGAACAAATACTAATATCATGGTAAACATACTGTGAAATTAATTTATATTAACTTTCTTATGAATTTGAATAATCATAAGCCTACTTATTTTATGACAAAGTATAAACATGACAAACAAATTTTAAATATTATTATTATTATTTATTTATTCATTATTATTACTTTTTTTCTTGAATTTACTCTTTCTTTACACCTTTTAGTTATTTTCATAATCATTACGTGTATCTGCTGTGGCTTCCTAGTAAAATTGTTTTTCCCCTTGTGTATTAGTATGTAGAGTAATAATTAGTATAACGGTGTTAGATTGTAGAATATGGACTGACTTGTTCCTCACAAACAGGCTTTGCCTATGTGGGGAATATTCATAATTTTTTATGATTACTTTATTTTAATTTGTGTAAACAATTTTTATTTTTCATGGAATAAATTATGTTTGATTTTTTGATTTTGATATACCCAAAAATAATTATGTGAGGTAGGTTAATTATTTTGTTTGGTCACAGTATCATTTACACAAAAACGTACAGAATTTTGGTTAGTCAAAAGATTATAGAGCAACAAAAAATCAGCGGGAAATGTTCAAACTTCATCAATGAGCTCTTAATTAGAAAACTACCTCTGCGAGGGTTATTTGGGGGGGCTACCTTTCTACACTGAAATGTTGACGGTCCAGCCCTTTCCTCCAAAAATTGTCAATGTGGCCCTTGCGTAAAAAAGGTTGGAGACCCCTGCTCTACTTGCACATTTGAAAATATGAAATGATTCAAACCACTAAAAAAACATCAATGGTCATGGTCATACCTAGGGAAAAATATAGACCCTCTACCATTTGACTAGAGTAAACTTAGAGGAAGCTATAACACATTCAGATTGATTGTGAGTGGTCTTACAGTTCACTTTTACAACTGTTTTCGAAAGTTTTACAAAAACCCTGCAAGTTTCATAGTTTTTTTTCTACAAATTTTGGCTGGAAAACTGGATTGTTACAACGATAAAATATAGATTTACTAACTTTTATTTCAAAATAATAATACTCATATGGAGCTTAGGCAACCAATAATGAGTTAAATATTCAGGGTGAATTTTAAATGAGTTCCCCCCCCCCTACTTTTTTCTACATTTCTTAAGATATCATCTCCGGACCACGCCAGATCATTGTTGAGTAGTAAGTACTTCATTTTGACTGGGTATACATTTTTGGCCGCCATCTTGGATCCGCCATATTGGATACAAAGTTTTTTTTTCAAATGTAAAGGTAGGGTTGTGACCCATTATTTCAAACTAGAATTTTACGCTGATTACAATGCCGCAATTAGTTTTTAAAAATCTTGATCCGTTCTAAAGTTATGAGGAATCTTTAACACTTTATTTTTAGCCCATTTTAACATTGTGCATTAACAAACTAAGGCCATAATCTCGAAATAGTGCTAGATAAAGATAAGTATACACCACCATTCATTGTTGTCATATTTTCACTTGGTTATGACGGATGTAGTTTTTTCAGCCGCCATCTTGGATCCGCCATTTTGAAATGTGATCAATTAATTTAAATATGAAGGTGGTGTTGTGACCCATTATTTTGAACTACTTTTTTATACTGGACTCAATGCCGCAATCCGTTTTTGGTTATCAAGCTTACTTGATGAAATAATAAAATACTCTTATTTAAAATTTCAATATTTCAAAATCCAAAGATGCAAATGAAAAACGGATTGCGGCATTGAGTTCAGCATAAAAAAGTAGTTCAAAATGATGGGTCACAACACCACCTTCATATTTAAATTAATTGATCACATTTCAAAATGGCGGATCCAAGATGGCGGCTGAAAAAACTACATCCGTCATAACCAAGTGAAAATATGACAACAATGAATGGTGGTGTATACTTATCTTTATCTAGCACTATTTCGAGATTATGGGCTTAGTTTGTTAATGCACAATGTTAAAATGGGCTAAAAATAAAGTTATAAAGATTCCTCACAACTTTAGAACGGATCAAGATTTTTAAAAACTAATTGCGGCATTGCAATCAGCGTAAAATTCTAGTTTGAAATAATGGGTCACAACCCTACCTTTACATTTGAAAAAAAAAACTTTGTACAGTAGACTCTCGCTCATCCGGACTAATGTGGCGGACGTCCGGTCCGGATTACGAAAAATCCGGACTATTGAGAGGCGAGCAAATACACAGTACTGTATATAGACGTTTTTTCAATTTTGTTCCAGATCCACAGTAATGATAGCCGGGCATAGCACTTCCACCATCGGTCGAATTTTGTTCCAGGTCCACAGTAATTATAGCTCGGGCATATGCACTTCCACCGGTAATAATTTTTTCGGCCGAATTTTGTTCCAGGTCCACAGTAATTATAGCCCGGGCATATGCACTTCCACCGGTAATAATATTTTGGCCGAAATTTGTTCCAGGTCCACAGTAATTGTAGTCCGGGCGTATGCACTTCCACCGGTAATAATTTTTTCGGCCGAATTTTGTTCCAGGTCCACAGTAATTATAGCCCGGGCATATGCACTTCCACCGGTAATAATTTTTTCGGCTGAATTTTGTTCCAGGTCCACAGTAATTGTAGTCCGGGCATATGCACTTCCACCAGTAATAATTTTTTCGGCCGAATTTTGTTCCAGGTCCACAGTAATGATAGCCCAGGCATATGCACTTCCACCGGTAATAATTCATACCGAGTTTTTTCATTATTCGAGGTAGTCTACTGTACTGAGCCACTAAAAAAAATCACGATTGCCGATCCGGACTACCGGGAGTCCGGACAAGGCCGATCCGGATGAGCGAGAGTCTACTGTATCCAATATGGCGGATCCAAGATGGCGGCCAAAAATGTATACCCAGTCAAAATGAAGTACTTACTACTCAACAATGATCTGGCATGGTCCGGAGATGATATCTTAAGAAATGTAGAAAAAAGTAGGAGGGGAACTCATTTAAAATTCACCCTGTATAGGCATTTTTACTATAAAAACAAATGTAATCCCAGCTATGCACCTGGTTGGTATAGATATAATTGCGATAGGTTAAATTTAAACCCTATATTTTTCCCTTGATAGGAGCCCAACATTTGCTTATGTTACAACTAATATAACATTACCAGAAGCGACATTACCGGTACTTGATATGAAATAACTTAAGTAAAAAAATCTAATTCTTACTTAGCAAAAATACTATTAGTTGTCATATGCCCGGCGATCTATAGTTCCATTTCTGTATTTGAACTGGAAAACCTGCACAAAACATAACAAAAGATACAATTAGTTTTTTTACAAATGATAACATACATACCATATGCAATTACAAGGTTTAACCTTGCAGTACAGGTCTTATGGGAGATAGTCATGCTACTAACATTACTGAAAACATTGTGCTTATTTTTGTGTGGATTGTATCAACTGTCCTCACAACTCTTGTGAAGGAGCTAAAGAACAGTTTAATTATTACTGTAACTTTATGTTTTTGTTTTTAGAGATTGGTAGTTTGACTTAATGATTTGGATTTTGATTTTGGTATGGTAAAAATTATAATAGATGTAAAAAAGTGTAAGATAAAATAAATGGTTACGGGTGATTTGCACAACCAATGTTTTCGGACAACCAGTGTCGCTGAAACTCCCATTTTAAATGCAAGGTGTATGGACGCTTTGTACTGCACGACATCGATTATAAAATCTTTGAGACAATGACGTACAGTGTGGTGCATACTTTAAGCTGAAAATGAATACAAGGCAAACAATATGGAGTATAGGCAGAACAAAAGATTATAAACAAACAAACAAATGATCAAAAAAGTTCTGTTCATTATTTTTGAAAAGAAATTGGAGTTATTTTTAAAAAGAAAGCCATAAAAAACACAAACTAAATCTGACTACTTTTTTCATAAAAATTATGTATCATAATACATCATTTTAATTTGTGAATTTTTTTTACTGACCAAGATGGTGGATTAAGTGTTAAGTAAACTGTACCTTTAACCTTACAATCAGTGAAAAAAGGCATTCAGGGATTACATCAGTTATATGAACGGCTCAGTTAAGTTTAAGTATTTTAACTGAGGACAGTCTATGATTCCATCGGGACATGTAAAATTTTGCTTTTTTATAAATCGTGATAGGAATTTTTTCGTAGTAATTCCTTCAATAATATAAACTTATCATAACCAAAATGTACTTCAAACCATACTTCCATAGTGAATATGGAAAGGCCTTTGAGTTTCGATAAAGTGTGTACAAGGACAAGATTAGCTAGATTTGAGCCTAAACTCAGGCCCAATCCACACAGAACGGACGTCAGGCGGAGACGTGGCGTGTACAATGCACACAGAAGGGACGGTACAGTGGTGAGAAAACTTGTATGTAGACTAGACGCTTTGGTTTTTGCTTATTTCTTTAGTTATTTATGTCAATTGAATTAGTTATTTATGTCAATTGAATTAGTTATTTATGTCAATTGAATTAGTTATTTATGTCAATTGAATTAGTTATTTATGTCAAATGAAATGAGTTATTTCTGTCACTTAATTAGAACGACTGTGAAATGTTGAAACAAACATTTTAACAAAAGTTTAACAAACAAGGGTATTGTTGAACTTCCTCACAAAATCTGATATTAAATTTAATGTCGTCTCACATTGTGAAAAGAAGAAGAAACAACTCACAATTACTCTAAACACAAAACAAGGTTGGCAAGTACAATATTTGCAGTCCGAACAACGGGCGCGCTACGGACATGCCACTTCCGATATGCCACGAGGGACGGCGAAGCGACGTGGCGGTGGCGGGAGGGCGGCCGCCAATTTGTTTACATGGAGAGGTGAGGAAGGGACATATGTCCTTGCCTCGTCCGTGCCACGTCTCCGCCCAACGTCCGTTCTGTGTGACTTGGGCCTCAGATCCACAAGTCTCACACTCTAGACTTGTAGTATCACTGTATATTGATTGAGCGTATGGTACAAGTTAGCAACCACATGTAATTTAGATCATTAATAGCAATGTAATCTATGTTAATTCTTTGAAATCTAATTTTATTTATGATAAATAAATAAAAGAAACAAGACCTGTACTGACATCTAGCTTTCTAATCCAATTTAGTGCTGCTTCATCTAAGTTGTGGAATTTAGTTGCTTGTCCTGATAATACATGTAAAAAACATAATTTTGATTTGTATGGGAGCAACAATCAGGTGTACAGTGTGTCCTGGTAATGACCTTTCCACAAATGGTATATGAACTGTTACCTAACTCTGTTTACCTCACTCAATCCTACACATTAGACTAATGAGATACAGTACTAACTCTGGTGTGATCATGGTGTTGAGGAGTTGTTATTCATGTTGTCCACATCAGTTACCTCAAGAAACATTATACTAATGAGATACTTACTCTGGTGTGATCATGGTGTTGAGATCAGGTGTTGAGGAGTTGTTATTCATGTTGTCCACATCAGTTACCTCAAGAAACATTATACTAATGAGATACTTACTCTGGTGTGATCATGGTGTTGAGATCAGGTGTTAAGGAGTTGTTATTCATGTTGTCCACATCATCCTAGCCCGATCAGTTACCTCAAGACACATTATACTAATGAGATACTCACTCTGGTGTGTTCATGGTGTTGAGATCAGGTGTTAAGGAGTTGTTATTCATGCTGTCCACATCAGTTACCTCAAGACACATTATACTAATGAGATACTCACTCTGGTGTGATCATGGTGTTGAGATCAGGTGTTGAGGAGTTGTTATTCATGCTGTCCACATCAGTTACCTCAAGACACATTATACTAATGAGATACTCACTCTGGTGTGATCATAGTGTTGAGATCAGGTGTTAAGGAGTTGTTATTCATGTTGTCCACATCAGTTACCTCAAGACACATTATACTAATGAGATACTCACTCTGGTGTGTTCATGGTGTTGAGATCAGGTGTTAAGGAGTTGTTATTCATGCTGTCCACATCAGTTACCTCAAGACACTTTATACTAATGAGATACTCACTCTGGTGTGATCATGGTGTTGAGGAGTTGTTACTCATGTAGTCCACATCATCCTAGCCCGATCAGTTACCTCAAGACACATTATACTAATGAGATACTCACTCTGGTGTGTTCATGGTGTTGAGATCAGGTGTTAAGGAGTTGTTATTCATGTTGTCCACATCAGTTACCTCAAGACACATTATACTAATGAGATACTCACTCTGGTGTGATCATAGTGTTGAGATCAGGTGTTAAGGAGTTGTTATTCATGTTGTCTACATCAGTTACCTCAAGACACATTATACTAATGAGATACTCACTCTGGTGTGTTCATGGTGTTGAAATCAGGTGTTAAGGAGTTGTTATTCATGCTGTCCACATCAGTTACCTCAAGACACATTATACTAATGAGATACTCACTCTGGTGTGATCATGGTGTTGAGATCAGGTGTTGAGGAGTTGTTATTCATGTTGTCCACATCAGTTACCTCAAGACACATTATACTAATGAGATACTCACTCTGGTGTGTTCATGGTGTTGAGATCAGGTGTTAAGGAGTTGTTATTCATGCTGTCCACATCAGTTACCTCAAGACACATTATACTAATGAGATACTCACTCTGGTGTGATCATGGTATTGAGATCAGGTGTTAAGGAGTTGTTATTCATGTTGTCCACATCAGTTACCTCAAGACACATTATACTAATGAGATACTCACTCTGGTGTGATCATGGTATTGAGATCAGGTGTTAAGGAGTTGTTATTCATGTTGTCCACATCAGTTACCTCAAGACACATTATACTAATGAGATACTCACTCTGGTGTGATCATCGTGTTGAGATCAGGTGTTAAGGAGTTGTTATTCATGTTGTCCACATCAGTTACCTCAAGACACATTATACTAATGAGATACTCACTCTGGTGTGATCATGGTGTTGAGATCAGGTGTTGAGGAGTTGTTATTCATGTTGTCCACCTCATTGTCTTCATCACTACTGCGAATGCTAGACATGATTTGAGATGGGATGTTGCCCACAGGTGGCTTCCACAGGACCAATGCTTTCGTTGGTGGATCCCTACACAAATCAAGGTAAACTTCAAATGTTCATTAGGTAACCCTTAATTTCTCTACATATTAAGCAGGAAACCCACTAGTCCGACACTCTCTAATCTGATCTGATCCGACCACTCTCCGACGACTTCCATCAAAATTACTTTGCAAGGCTTTAAATGGACTGTAACCCACTAGTCTGACGCTCTCCGCTCTGATCAGTACTGATCCGATACCTTCCGGCGATATTGCTCTCTGGGGCATTGTTGTCGGACATCGGATCCGATTTATATCCAGTCTGCGTGCACCAGGCCTAGTTTCTGTGTGCACTGTCTAGCTTCGTGTGTAACATGAGTGTAGACAAACTTTTGATGGAAGCAGTTTGGGAGTATCCCTTTCTTTATGCAGTAGGTGATAAAAGCAGCCTTAAAATATTCTAATACTTTCAGTGATGCAAGTTCAAGAGATTCGAGTGGTGATTGGTTCTTAAATCTTGGACCAACTATTATAGAAAAAGATAATGTGAATAAAGAACCATCGGATAGACAAATAATGACTTTGACTACTCCAGCAGTCAAAATTAACAAAAAAAAAAAAAACATGGAACATCTCATTTCTTGTCGGTTACTGACACAGCCCGTCGGACCAATGGGTTATTGCCTTAAAAAGTGCGGAAGGCGTCGGACCCAGTTGGAGACCCAAAGGAGCAGATCGGATCGGAGAGCTTTGGACTAATGGGTTTCCTCCTTTAACCTGTGTTGTCAGTAGCTACCTCGGTATTATAATGAGACTATGGATTAATGGTTATTTCTGTTGTTTTTTGCCTCCTGATCACAAATATTAATTAATCTAGAGGTTAAAATACCTTTAATCCGTCAATGTGATTAAAAAAACAACAAAGTAAAACAGCTGGTTTGCCCTAACCACAACAGCTGAGTTATTAATAATTTTTTAAATGATTAACAATGATAATTTAGTAACAATTTAGAAAGGATCAGATGAGCATACGTGACCTTTGAAGACGTCTGCCCAAAAGTTCCAGTGTATTGCCACCCAGTCACTGGATGCTCATTTTCAGTAACTTACATTAATGATCTGATATCAGATAGCAGAAATAAACACAGTTTAGTATTTTTTTAAAGGTAGATAAAGAAGATAGTACTGTTTCAGGTTTAATTTACATAAAATTCAAGGACTTTCAATTGATTCTCTCTTATGTCACCAATTGTACACCTTTAATCCAATTGGATTATTTTTTAATCCAATTGGATACCTGTAATCCGTTTGCCGCTCATCGGTGACATTGATCACATTGACGGATTAAAGGTATTTTAACCTCTAGATTAATTAATGGTTAGAATATTGTGGATATGCACCTAACAATTTATCAGTATAATTCATCAGTATAAGTTAATATTTCATTATTGTACTAGCTCTTGCTCAATCTCTATTTACTCTAGCTCTTGCTATGTTCATTGCAAGAGCATCCAAGTACTCTGTTTTATCTTCAAATAATAATATTAGGTGTCTGCGGGCCAGACATTTTTATTACATGTCAAAAAATTGTTGCCTTCGGGCACCTCAAGATAAAATCAGGCCAGGTCAAAATCAGGTTGTTTTGAAAAGCATTGATTTTAAAGAATATTTTCTATACTATATAACGACTTTTTTTAATGACGCCGCGGCAAAATCAATAATCCACATAGTTAATACTTATAGTTAATACAACAAGAAATTGAAAATTTACTAAATTGTCTTTGTTCACAACAAAAACATGAGTGTTCCATGTAGTTGGAGTGTGAAATCAAGGGAATCTTCAGCGATCGTGGAGGAATCGTGAATGACTTTTAGGTTTGTGGCGAAATAGTCTTCATCTTCCACGATTGCTGAGACATCACCTACCGCGATTACGGACAAAAATTGTGATTTTTTTATTACACAATCTTCCCAGACGCTTTTGGAGATCGTGAAAATAAAAGCTCGGTTTAAAAATCGAGCCCCCTAACAAATTTTCATGTTTCAAGAGAAAAATATTCCATTGAGGCAACAAAGGATACCCTTTCCCAGGCCGAGGCACCCGACCACTGCCGTGTCCAGTAATGAATACAGTACTGATGGGTTATAGGCCTACGGCCCTTCCAAACCAGTTATCCTCTAATTAATACATAATACTGAAGACGGACAAAGTATGAGAAATAGAACATTACCAAGAGGTTAAGTTTCCTTACCGCTTTGGAAACAGAGATTCGGGTAACAGAGGTTGCTGAAGTGATTGAGTCAGACTTTGCACTTCCTTACTTAGCACCAGAGTGGGCAGAGCACAATCACTGTTTTCTAATCCATCTGCAAAGCTCTGAAAACAAATTTAGGATGTGATTAACAGGAATTTTAAATAAATAAAAGGTAAAAGAATGTTTTCTTTAATTCCAACTTAAACTTTCCTTGGTTGAAAATGCTGTCAGTGACACTGAAATATTCAAAATTTTCTGTATACATTGGAATCCCTTTGATATCCAGCCTCGGTTTATTCGGCCACTTCTCAGAAGTTGAAATCGAAAGGTATATCCTACGGCTTTATTTAACATTTATTTATGTCATCTGAATTCATTAATTGATGTTACCACATTTTTCCATTAATACATTTTCTATTGATTTTACAAACATATGTGTAATTTCTAACAAATAGGCTAATCACAAAAAAAACCTAAACAGGGTTTTGGTCTGATGGTGACCGGATGTGACAACTGTGTACAGCTGGTGAAACGTAAGCTGGCACGTGGGCCTAGCACAAGCAGTGTTGGTGGGGGAGGGTGGAAGTAAGTAAAAGACTGGAACACAAACATTTCCGCTGACTAACAGGATTGGTTTTCAAGTTTCACATACTTTCGCGCCTTTAGGTGTGTCGCAAGGACAGTTGACGGATCCCGCATGACAGCACACAATTCTTTTGAAATAGGCTGGTAGCGATCGGTCAAGTGCCAGCTTTACGAGTCACCAGAGGACAGGTAGGATATTGATGAACATTATTTTGTGTGTTATATTCTTGATGACAATCTGAAAGCTTGTGTAGTTAAGAATCAGGTTTTAGCACTGTACCAAACATTAAAAAAAACATGAAAAACCTTAAAAAACAAACTAACCTTTTCACCGACATAATTATTGCTTATATGCATATTTTTCAACTGAGCAGCCATTTTTTCTTCAGTGATATGCATTTTTGCAGGATTACTAAAACAAAAAAAGGAATTTTATAGCAAACCATAAACCAAGAGTAATTATTAATCTTATTTATATCTAGGTAGGCCTACATAAAACTTTATACATAATCACAAAGTATTTTTAAATGCAATATCCAATAACCTAAATTAACATATACAGCCGACTTCCTCTTGTCTGGATTCAGATGGTGCAGAAGCAGAAGACCTTGGAAATGAGTCGCACAGGTGGCTTCAGCAGAAATCAACACGATTAAAGGTGTCTATTTATTTCCGACCTTAAGTATAAACAAATAAAATTTGTTCAGTTTATGATTGTCTTTGCTCTGCATCTCCGTGTACTGTTTTCTATTGATTAGGTCCCTGCGTGTTTCAGTTATTTTAAAATTTAATTGATATCTTTTTAAAAGTTTATCTGCTCAATTATTTTAAAAGTTTATCTGCTCAATTACATTGTAGTTGCTACAGGCCTAAGTCAAAGTATTTAATTTATCAATACCGTAATGCTCTCAAAAGGGAAAAATGGAAGCACAACACAGTAAAGATACTACAGACTTAATATTTTACGGTATTTAGATAAGACATAATCAGTAAAAATAGTATTTGTAAGGAGTTTAATGTAGAGGAAAGTAAAGTTTACAATTGGTGACATAAGAGAGAATCAATTGAAAGTCCTTGAATTTTATGTAAATTAAACCTGAAACAGTACTATCTTCTTTATCTACCTTTAAAAAAATACTAAACTGTGTTTATTTCTGCTATCTGATATCAGATCATTAATGTAAGTTACTGAAAATGAGCATCCAGTGACTGGGTGGCAATACACTGGAACTTTTGGGCAGACGTCTTCAAAGGTCACGTATGCTCATCTGATCCTTTCTAAATTGTTACTAAATTATCATTGTTAATCATTTAAAAAATTATTAATAACTCAGCTGTTGTGGTTAGGGCAAACCAGATGTTTTACTTTGTTGTAACAATTTACAAAGGATCAGATGATAAATAAACATTAACAATTAAAAGCCAGTAAAGAAATTATTAATTATTTAAAATGTTAATAACTCAGCTGTTTGTTGTCCGATCCTTAAGATCTAGGTGTCATTTGATTTGGCATTAAATTTCCTAAATTTTGTTATAGTGGTGTTTTTTTTTTAGCTCTAGTGGTTTTCATGTAATTCGAGGTCAAAGAATTCAAGTCAACGTAGTGAAATTTCGCTTGCTTGTGTATTACATTGACATTTACAAATGTGTCAAATTTAAAGTTTATACCTCAATTCAAACTCGAGTTATAAGGTTATTTACAAAAAAAACACATACAGACAGACAGCCGGAAAACGAGGCTCCGGCGACCCATGTTTATAATGTAAAATATTCTTGTATTAACCCAAGGAACAATCATGTGAATTTTTTCGAGAGAGTTCACAAACACCCTGTATGTAAATAAATTCTATAAGGTAAATAAGAATATACTATGTCAAATAGGCCCTGCTCTTGATAATGGAAATAGTAGGTTTCAGTACATTTTACATTGCCTTGATGTAATAACTTGATCTATCATGTTTCCATCTAGTATAATTTTATTCCTACATCAAGAATACTCTAAATTTTGGAATAGTTTGGGTGTTCATCAAAAGGTTTGTGTATGCTCATGTTACTAAGATTAGACTTTTTCTTACTTTTTTCCAAAGAAGCTTTTTAGATTTAGTCCAACTAAAGTTAGAGCCTTAATACTCGAGGTAGCCTGGCAACGTTACCAGCAACGTAGCTACACTTTGGCGACCGGTTGGCTACTGAGCCCCGTCGCCACTCTGGTCACAACTGGCTATAAGATTGGAAACATTCTGGCTACTAGGTTTGATAGGCTACGTTGCCAGCTACTGTCGCTGGCTATGACGCTATTCTACCTTGTGTAGTGAGGGTCTTAGTGTTTGAAGTAGAGAGCTAAAAATGTACTTTCCTAATAACATTTTTTGTTGTCCTAGGATGCTAGGCCTGAATTGTTTTTCACATTTCTTCAGGCTAGACCTAGGGGTTACGGCATTATCACTTAGATAAAATCCATTGGTGACTTGGCGGGGATCGAACCCAGGACCTCAGGGACTGAAGTCCTGCGCTCTAACCACTATGCCAACTCGCTCCCCATCCTAATAAAATAAAAACTATGTATAACTTACGGACAAAAATCAAAATTATATTTTCTTTTAACGCAGAATGTCCTTGGCCTTGGGATTTCCTGAGATTTCTGATGGAGGAAAGACATTTCGGGGAGGCGTGGTTCGCCAAACCTAAAACAGATCAGTTTGTCAGGGAGCTGAAAATTTGTTACCTAAATCAAGTAGGCCTAAATCAGGTTTTTACAATCAGACCAATTGCAAAACATCACAATCTTTTAAACATTCGTGCATTTAAATCTTATTTAAACTCTTAACCAATCTGATGGCCAAACTTTTTTATTCAGTAAGATAAAGATAATTTCTTTGTAAAGATCAAAGGCTATTGCAACAAACTTTGCCGAAGCTCGATATACCGCTCAAGTTAGTGTAATTGATGGGCTGTTGGCGATGTTAGCAATGACTCCGAGAACATTAAAGATTCTAGCGTTGACTTTGCAAATGTCAGCAATGCTATCAATGTTGCCACGAGCTTTGGCGATGTTAGGAATATTGCCTGAAATTTCCTAGGAAAGGTTATGATGTTGCGAACGTCCACAAAGCTAGCGGTGGGGAAGGGGGATCTGGCGATGATACCACAAACATTAGGGAAGATAGTAATATAACCGCAAAAATTAGTTGTGTCTTTGCCAACTAAGAGTAGCTTTTAAAACACTAACATTTTGCAACAACATTGTCATCGTCTCCTTAACTGAGGCGACTTTATCCTCTAACACATACGCTGCAACATCATCATCATCTAGATCGAGTTGCGGCTACAAAGTCCCAACACCTTTTGCGAGCGCAACTACACCAAAGACAACCTCGATGGTCATAATTTTGCCATCAGAACTTTGATAAATCTTACATTTTATAAATCTTCTATTCTGAATTCCTACCAGGGGCGGCTCCAGAGGGCCTACCCAAAATTTGGGTTAATATTATAAAATTATAATTAGGCCTAAATAAAGAAATTATATTTAATAAGGAAAGATAGGTACTTGCAATTGTCAAGTGAGTTATACTAGCTACGAGTGATTTAGTAAAAATTTTAAACTGCGTTAGTTTATGTTTATGCTCCTGACTGGCCAATGGCGACTGCTCGACGCTCGTTCGTCGTACTGCGTACTGTACTCGCTGTTGATGGTGTCTGAGTCTGACGCCAGACTGCTCCCGCTCTCGCACTCACACAAAACAACACACTGACTACAGAGACACGCAGCCGCTGCCCGCCATCAAACTTAAGGGCTACAATGACGGGGAGGAGACTACACAGTTTGGGAGTGTTATCTATTGAAAAGGAAGCAAGTTTAGAACTTCTAAACAACCCTGATCCTGTAATTGATGAATTTGCTTCTCAGAAAGGCAGAAGATTGCAGTTTGTAATGAAATAAACAGTTCGTTTGAATAATGATCACACAAATTATTTACTTATCAGGCGAGCTGAATTCTGAACTGAGTGTTATTATTATGTTGTATAATTAATTTTGATTAAAATATTATTAATGCTAGTAAGATATGTGACTGTTATATGCAATAAATGTTTTCTGTAAAAACCACCGTTTTTCAGCTATCATAGTGTATTTCTCTAAATATTTTTTAAACTAACAAAATTGGCATCCATTCATAACGATAAACTAAATATTAAATGCAATTTTCAAACCATTTAAAAAACGTAGATACTAATAAAATATATAAAATCCAATGTATGTTTGTCCTTTATGGACTCCGAAACCGCTCGACGGATGGTAATGAAACTTTCAGGCATTATTAAGCATTATTCAAGGATGGTTTGTGTGAAGTTTGGTGCAGATCCGTCAAAAGGGCTCCGCAATAACTTATTAACAAACATATCTCAATAATTCCCAATCCCAAAGCAATAATGAAATATACAAATTTACTAATTTTTTCTAAGTACCTTTTGATAGTGGACCTTAAAATGTGATTTTTTACAATTAACATTTTTTATACAACTAAAAAATCTCTTAATTATGTCTCTAAATGGCCTAAAAACTCGATTTTACAGGTCTAATTTTCACAAATTTTCCCCGGACCCCCCCTTTTCCTGGGGGGTATTCCATACCCCCCAGACCCCCCGGACTTGTCCCTGTGTTTGGCCTACCCAAAAAAATATTCCTGGAGCCGCCCCTGATTCCTACTTATCTACACAGCTATTGGTCTCAGTTAGTTCGGAATAGCAGGATTCTACTGTGTACATTCAAAATTTGTGATTTTGGTATTTAATTAAAACTCGGTTTTTAGATTTGTTGCACATTGCAACATTTAAGCTTATTAAGTGGTTATACCTGACAAGTTGAGGAGGGTTTTCCATAGTCCATGACATAGAGCTACTCATCCATGGAAGCATGCTGGATTTGCTAGGATCTGCACTAACGGAGTCATCTATGTGATAGGTCCATTGATTAGCCATCCCCTAAAAAAAATTAATATTGAATTAGGATTCTGACATATTTTGATGAGTAGTTTAGGCCTAAAGTATACGGTAAATAATAGACGATGGATATATAATGAAATAGAATATAACTTTATTGTCACAATAAATGTACATTTCCAATGTTCCAGCACAGCTGGGGAAACAGGTGTGACATTGTCAATATTCTTAGAAATGAATAAGTAATATTAAAAATAGGTTCAGACATAATATAAATTATCTTTATGGATCATTGTCATTTAAATAATCAGTTATGGAGTAATACAAAATAGGAAAAAACAGAAAAAAGATAAGCGTTAAGCGTTTTTAAATTTTGAGATTTCTTGAATTCTCTTTATTCTGGCAGGTAGATTATTGTAAAGTTTTAAACTCATATAAAAAAAGGATTTTCAAATAAACAGAGGCGGTGTCTTGGGTATTGAAAGTCATTTTAAACCGGGTTGGATAGACATGTTCAAATTGGTTTATTTTGTATGATTCTAAATTTTGTTTGAGTACTAAAGTTTTGAATAATAAAGAGTAAATCTTTACTATTGGTTAAGAGAGGCTGATATTTAAGCCATGATCAGTTATTAAAAGCCCGTCAGGGATAGCTTAGCCCAATTTAAAGCAGGTAAAAATTTCTATGGAAAGATTGCCATTTTTATACCTTAAAAGACTAACATATGCTGAAAAATAGATATAAATGTCTAAACACAGACATAACATGATTTGGTCATCCACCCCTGAGCTTCGTGTTCTGTCAATTTTATTTATTCATTCACGGCAATGCACATTTTACATTAGAGTACATTAGAATACAATTTGCAAGAAGAATTTTGGCAAATTTAAGTCAAGTTACATTATGAGGTAGGCTAGAATTTTTTACCACAGAGTTGTAATAACCATTCTTATGTCAGTGACATATGCCTTAAGTTAGCTGCCTTTAAATATTTTAGACTGGGATTTATAAGTTACACTGTGAAAAAATCACATTTATTCACAGTCGGTAAGTGGCTCTGGGGAGTGGGAATTTTTGGTAGGGGTTTTTCCCTAATTCCTGTATTTCCCCTAATTTTGGGGTAAAGTCCAAACCTCGTAAGCTCCCTATTTTTGTGACAAGGAATTCAATGGAACCATCGCCTCCCCATACAACCCCTTTTTTTTACTTAGCCTGCATGGGGAGAAATGCCCCCTAAAAATATTATTTTTTTCATTTATGATGGATTAATTATATTTTCCTCAATACAAATAGGCCTACACCACTTTTGTACCATTTATCTTACCCCTCTCTGTTAGGGGACAAACCCCCCTTTTTCCTACATGTATATGGATCTGGGAAGTTGGTATGTTGCAATGCTGCAGGGGGACTGAAACTATTTGTACAAGTCTAAATCGGACTATGATCATAGTCTAACACGCTAGGGATAGAAGGACAGATGTATCCGGCTTATGAGGCAATGGGAGTACGGGGAGTATGGGAGGGAATGGATTGCTATAAGTAACTAAACTAGATGTGGTAGGCCTAGGAAGTGCAACCCTAGACAAGCTTGGTGTCACTAGACTCACAGCTTGTATAAAGCCTAGACTAAAATGGGACTCTATACATTCATTCTTTACTGTAACACGTTCGGCTGCGCGATGGCCGTCCGCTGCCAGGAGCGCGGACAGCTAATGCACTGCGTGGACGAGTGCGCCAAAATTTTTGAGCTCAGTTTCATCCATGAGGAGAGGCATTTTTATACTGCGTCCCAGTCGTTGTGGACATAGTTTTACAAAAACTTAACTTAATAGATAGCAGCACTAAATAAAACTACTAGCTGGCCCTCAGTATTGCCAAATGGAGGGAAAAACCAGGGGTGAAGCACCCGGATACACCATCAAAACATACCGCAAATAAGGAATAAAGAAAAATATTTAAATTAGGTTCCCTCCACAATGCTACAGTACATTCAGTATTGTTATTTCAATCCATATCATTAAATGTCTAACATGCTATGACAGACGTGAAGATGAACAACTACAACAAACACGAAAATAAAGCCCTGTAGAAAATATGAATATTGGCGGTAACCTCAACCAACACGAAATTAAAACCCACTAAGTTACCTCAACATACACGCTCATTCACAATATGCGTTTCCTCCTTAATAGCTAGACGAAATATAGGTTTATCGCATTACAATGTCCATGACAAATGTCTCCGATCGAAGGCACGCGCACCCGGACAGGGATGGTGATGTCTCCGATCAGAGCCATGCTGCAGTAAATTACCTGTACAAGTTCACAGGTAGGTCTAAGCCTAGATCGTAGAGTTTCTTTTCTCAAGACATAACTTAGGTACCTTTACAAATTATGTAGGCCTAGTATTGTGGTCCTAATCATATAGTTTTGTATCACCTAGACTACACTTAGGTTGGAGTTCTAGTATAAGTGTTGTTAACTAAAACTGTTAACATGTTGTTACTATGTTACAAAAGTAGACCTACTTTCTTTTGACTAACCCATTGGTAGACTTAAAAACAAACAAGCTTGTTATATTCTACGTACCATAACAGTAAGAGCCTACTTGATATTAAATAGTCTACCTAAAACTATTATTGTTACCTGCTTTAAAAACCCAACTAAAGATTTCAATTCAGCAACTCAGCTTGACTGAAGTTAGAGAGAATGATCCATGTTGTTTAGGACATAAGTTACCTGCAGCACTAGCACTAGACAAAATAAAGCATTAGCAGACCAAAAGTAGGTAAGCAGCCGCTGTACGTACTTATTGTACAGACAGACAGACTAAACAAACAAATAAACAAGACCAAGACAAACCTTAAAAACTGAAGTAAAGGTTTGGGTTTGATCCTTGAGAGGAAAATGGTTCAACAAGCAAGCTTAGCAAGCCAAGCAGAAGCACTAAGCTGTTAGCAGACAGTTTGTTTTGTTTACTCTAGATGTTTCTGTTTCTGTTCTGGCATAGTTGACATAGAGTAATGGATGGTTTTTTCTTCTTTGGCCAAGGGTGTTGCGCTGTATTCTCATGAAGCTTCAGTGCTCGTCTTCAATCACGAATAAAAATGTTCGTATTACCTATGTTATTGATTAAATGCGGATATAATTTCATCATAGTATCCAAGTAAAATATAAAATAAGCTAAAACTATTGTTATTCAGCCCTGTTCCAATAATTTAATGTCCCTACCCTTCTCTCTCTCTTCATAATGGAATCCGCATAACTTGAAAAGAAGAATCTAGAATTACGAAATGTTCATAACTAATAGTCTGGTCCATGATTACAATACAAAAAGAGCGAACAATCCATATGTACCTAAAATAAATTCTACCTTGGCAAGCATGAGTCACGAAGATGGTACGGAAGAAACTCTCAATGGTAGCCTACACTTAAGTGGTGTCTAGCCCTAGTCGCTGGTGTGTGGTGTCTAGGGAAAAGTCCAACGTCCCCCTCCCCTCGAACACATACTTCAACGCTCGCGGTAGAGGAAGACCCTGTTCCTTGTGCGCCAGGAATTAATGCAAAATTCTCGCCTCCATTTCAAAATTTACAACAACCTGTCTCGGAATATCACCTAAAAAACTTCAATTAATAAATTCAAGAACGTGTTGAAACTATTTAAGTCAAACGGCTTACTAACTTATATTGTAGAATAAATGTGTATCCCTATCTCCTTTAATACAAGAGCGTGGTGTTATCGTGTGTGGCACAGTCGTACCAGCCGGCCTATTGTCATGTTATAATAAACATGTCAACTTAAACATTGAGAAGAAGCTCCATTATGAGTTAGGATAACAGCTGATGTTTCAGTAGGCCGGGGCTGGGGCGATGTCACTTTTGTCTCGCCGTGGCCTTGTGTAAGAGGAGGCTAAGATCTCTAGGCCAGATGTATGGAAGAGGAAAGGCAAACAGTAGAGAATAAAAATAGGAAAAGCCTGACGAACACCTACGTCGCTGATGCGATACCAGTGGGAATATTCCAAATATCAAAATCGCATCAGACTACTCTACTTTTTATAGTAATCATATGATATAATTCTCTCATCCAGACTAACTAAATCATACGATTTTTAAAACCAAATCAAATCCAATCTTACATCATGATTAAATAGCTATAACATGCGTACTACCATTTGCTGGGGAATCAAATCATTGATTTCATACACACCATAAAGACACTATACGTGCAGTCAATTATCGAATCCAATAGATTACAATCCAGATATTGCTGAGATCGAATAAGGGGGAAGTTCATGAAAAAATTAAATATCTTTAATTGTTAGCCAAAAATATTGAAGCTTTTCTGGATATTACCTGTAACCATGGAAACAAAAAGTGGGTTGAAATTTTCTTTCACCCCCTCTGTGTGGGAGGGGGGAGGCGATTTTTTACGTTTTACAAGGGTTTACTCAGTAAACCCTTGTAAAACGTAAAAAATCGCGGTACGGATCCAGTACGGATTAAAATTCATAAAAGATAATTGATAACCTTTTGATTGAATACAACAACGAAATAATGATCCTATAAAATTTTTAACTATGTTTTATGTAGACAAATTAACAAAAGAAAATATTATTAAAATATATTCTATAAGGATTTCTTTCAAATCCATCCTGCAGATCATATAACTGAACAAGCTGAATAAAATAAACCAAAAATCATCTCTCTATCTCTTCTAGAAGCGGAACTGTATAATAATATCTAGGGTAAAAAAAATCACTTTCAGGAAACCACAGATTCAGCTGTGACCTTTGTTTGAAAGCAGCTGCAGCTCCCACTCTTCCAAAATAAATTTAAACAACCAATACTGTATATAAGATACCAAAATGTACTATTACATATAGTTTTACTATATGAATTAACTGGGTTGTTGGTACAGTAGATGAAATAACTAGGTTTTAGTCAAAATGTATTAAAATACTCAAAACAAAACAATCCAATGAATTAATATGGTTAAAAAAATCGCAATACATTAATTAACTTTAACTTTTTTCTAGGTAAATAATAATCGTACAGTCTTACATTTTATGTTTTCTATATATTAAATTTAATGCAGAGCCATAGTTATGTCAAAATATAATTTTCAAAAAAGCTCTGTTTTTCATGAACTCCTCCCTCAATAGGGGCAAATCGCTCTCACCAATCGATTATACCGCTGGGATCGAATATCTAAGTCCTAAGTTAAATACCCCCGCCCCAGCAAACCTGCAGACTAAGGGAATTCCCGTTTTCCTGATTGGATTTTCAATTGAAATCTATTTACAGGTTTAACAAGTACCTGGGTTTGCTGCTACAGGGAGGGCAATAACGTGTGTTTTTACTAAAATAATAATAGTTTAGTAAAAAATAAACATATTTGCCAAGTTTTATTAAGAAATACAAGCAAACTAATAAACAAACAAACTACAACAGTTTACTTATTCTCTATAAGAATAACATGTGGCTTTAAATTAAATTTTTTGAATTTCCTCCGGAACTAACAACTGTAATGAAACACTGTAATATACTAAATTATTTTGTTTAAGCTCTTTAAAATGGTTTGAATGTAAATTGGGAAATTTTTATGTTTTTAGGGTCAAAAATAAGAAAATCCAATTTTTATACCCCCTAAACCCCCCTTCCCATGGCCCGATCATGTTGGTTCGCGAACTCATTCAAGTTTATCTGGCCCTACACCTTCAATCAAAATTTCATTAAAATCGGACAAAAATTACTGACATTATCGTGTTAATGGACATACATATAAAAGGGTATATATATACGTCCATTTTTGTATACATAAAACAATTTGATTGAATAGGGTTTTTGGCCTCTAGGGAGATCAAAATTAATAAGTATATCAGTCCTGTGTCTAGGTCTTACCGTGACACCCACGATAAAAGCTACAATTTCCCTATGGGGAAATTCACTAAATACACGAACTTCTTAAATCTCATATTCCTTAAACAGATGTAGGCTACTTTGTAGCCTTGGTAGTACTTGGTAGCCTTGATACCTCTTACCGTTTGGTCCTGACTCACTTGATACTGCTTTTACAATTTTCTCAAAGTACTGTATGTTATTGCGAATAATTTTTGAAGTTCGTGGTTTGGAAAAAAAGAATAATGAATTCGGATTAAACCCATTTATATGATCCCCTGGCCTAAAAGTTAAAATCGTGTTACAGTATGTGAATTACCACGGACTCCGTCCACACAAGTTGATGATGTAGAAATAGCACATTTTTTAAACCAACAATTTTAAATGTTGATTTAAATTCGATTTTATAAAATTCTGTTGGAATATAGGATAACCTTTTACTGCCTAAAAGATGTAGGCGTACATAATTATTTGTGTGATGAAACATATAAATCTTATGCTAAATCACTCATTATTTCACGAAGTGTGCGGGGTCACGTTAGTTAATTATTTTAAATGACCAAGAACGATCGAATTAGTCATATTTGGCTTGGTCTCAGGGTAGTAAAGCTGTGGTGTGGAAAGTGGATTACAGCGCTCCGGCACACCAGGATGGCCATTTCGCCACTAGAAATTACACAGGACAGGACTGTAGAACTGTGGTATGGTGAGTGGAATGCAGCGTTCAGGCACACCAGGATGTTCAGGTCGCCACTAGGAAGTAGACAGGACTGTAGTGCAGTGGTATAGTGAGTGGAATGCAGCGCTCCAGCACATCAGGATGATCAGTCCCCACTATAGGAAGTAGACAGGCCAGGAATGTAGAGCAGTGGTATGGTGGCTAAAATACAGCTCTCCGTCACACCAGGATGCTCAGGTCGCCACTAGGAAGTAGACAGGACTGTAGTGCAGTGGTATGGTGAGTGGAATGCAGCGCTCCAGCACATCAGGATGCTCATTCGCCACTATAGGAAGTAGACAGGCCAGGAATGTAGAGCAGTGGTATGGTGGCTTAAATAAAACCCTCCGTCACACCAGGATGCTCAGGTCGCCACTAGGAAGTAGACAGGACTGTAGTGCAGTGGTATGGTGAGTGGAATGCAGCGTTCTGGCACTCCAGGATGCTCATTCGCCACTATAGGAAGTAGACAGGCCAGGAATATAGAGCAGTGGTATGGTGGCTAAAATACAGCCCTCCAGGATGCTCAGGTCGCCACTAGGAAGTAGACAGGACTGTAGTGCAGTGGTATAGTGAGTGGAATGCAGCGTTCTGGCACTCCAGGATGCTCATTCGCCACTATAGGAAGTAGACAGGCCAGGAATGTAGAGCAGTGGTATGGTGGCTAAAATAAAACCCTCCGTCACACCAGGATGCTCAGGTCGCCACTAGGAAGTAGACAGGACTGTAGTGCAGTGGTATGGTGAGTGGAATGCAGCGTTCTGGCACTCCAGGATGCTCATTCGCCACTATAGGAAGTAGACAGGCCAGAAATGTAGAGCAGTGGTATGGTGGCTAAAATACAGCCCTTCGTCACACCAGGATGCTCAGGTCGCCACTAGGAAGTAGACAGGACTGTAGTGCAGTGGTATAGTGAGTGGAATGCAGCGTTCTGGCACTCCAGGATGCTCATTCGCCACTATAGGAAGTAGACAGGCCAGGAATATAGGGCAGTGGTATGGTGGCTAAAATACAGCCCTACAGGATGCTCAGGTCGCCACTAGGAAGTAGACAGGACTGTAGTGCAGTGGTATAGTGAGTGGAATGCAGCGTTCTGGCATTCCAGGATGCTCATTCGCCACTATAGGAAGTAGACAGGCCAGGAATATAGAGCAGTGGTATGGTGGCTAAAATACAGCCCTCCAGGATGCTCAGGTCTCCACTAGGAAGTAGA